TATAGCCTCCTGGTCATTACGTCACCCGCCGTGACGTCTCGCCCATCTATTGGTCTGATTACACACGAGGTTCAGAGCCCGTCACGCTGAAGGGCGTTCCCCTAGCGTTTTCGACGCAGCTCGAGTTCCTGAAGAGGAACTACAAACATTAAAAAAATTATTAAAAGTTATTTTGAATAAAAGAAATATTAACTGAAATAAAGGCAATTATTTCAAAAACTTATTTTAGCTAGTTTCTCATTTTAATTTAGTTTAATTGAAGTATGAAAAGAACTAAAACAAAAACTGAAAAAAAAGAATAAAAATGACAAAATCAAACCACTACATTACTAAAATTTTAACTAAAATTAAAATAAAATTAAAAATTAAAAATATAAAAAAAACAATACAGTCTGCAATAAAAGTGGTAATTTAATAATAAAAAATTATTAAATTAAACCTAGAACCATAAAAAATTAACATTTTCTGTTATTTGAAATAAAACAAATGTCAATAAAATAATATATTTAACAACTTATTTATTTCAGCTAGTTTCTCGTAGTTTAACATGCTATACTAAAATAACAATAACAAAAACAAAAACTAATATATATGTTTTTTTTTATATTTCTTAATGAGATGATATTTAAATGCTTACATTTATGATCAAAGCTCTGTAGTGTCAAAACATATAATGCAATGCAATACAATGATGATTGAGAGATGAACAAATAAACATTCCTCAAAAGCCTAATGATCATATTTAATACTCACATTTGAACATGATTTTTCTAATAAACGATGTATGGCTAATCAAGTCAAGCTAAGTTGTTTCAGTTCAGTATGTGTTCATCTTGAAATATTGCTGGCAATATCAAAGTTATTCTTATGTTTATAAAAAATCAGTAAAGATCTGACAGCAAAAAGACACGTGAAGCACGAGCTGAAGGAGGACGTTTGTACAATTATACCACAAGACCTTTAACTTGATAAACAATCTATTTATCAGATTGTGTCCAACAGTTATATCATCTGTTCCAAATCGGACTATTATTTTATATGCTTTAAGTGTGGCGCAAGTGTCTAAATATTTTTGGGGTCACTGCACGCATAAGCGGGATGCTCAGCTCCTCTGAAGTTTTCCAAACTTGTGTGTTTGATGGCAGAGAGCGGATCTGGCCCAGAGAGAGATGGAGAGGCTGAAGAAGCAGCTCGCTGGCACTTCTAAAGGGACCGGCCCATCAGAGGACAGACCCAAGGAGGTAGGAATGACTCTCTCTTTTAGATGAAAGCCGGGGCGACTGCAAATTGCCACCTTAACACGTCCAATCTGCAGTGGGAGGAAATGATCAGTTGCTCCCACAACACTGGAACCTCATTAGCGGCTCTTTGAGGTGCTGTGATTATAGGCAGCCAGAGAGCAGGAGGAGATTTCGAAGTTGAAAAGACAGTTTCATGTTGCCCGTGCCTGATCTCCTTTCATTTGCCGTCTCAGGAGAGGGAGCGCGAGGAGCGAGACGAGACCTCGCTGTCCCGGCTGGAGGCGGTGCTGTTCTCCAAGGACAGAGAGATCCTGCGACTGCTCGAGAACGTCCAGAGACTCCAGTTCACCTTACAGGAAGTCCAGGACTCCTCGGCCAATCAGATCGCCGAGCTGAAGCGGCAGCTGGCCTATAAGTCAGAAGCTATAGAGGTGAGAGTGTGTTATTTTAGCCATGATATGTGGTCAGGATATTACAGTTTAAAAGTATATATTTACTGCAAGCTCAGTTGTTTCTATGGAACTCATAGGCTGCAGATTTGTTTTAAAGCAACACACATGCACATTTTCAAAGTATTTTTGGCTGATATGAATGTATTAGCATATATGAATAGTATTCTCAGCTCCATTTAGCACATTTTACTGTTTGCATTTGCTTTTATCCAAAGCAACTTAGACTGCATCCAAAAATCCAGAGATTCAATCACTTTTGTAAAATAGTGCAAAAACAGCATTAATAAACAAACTTGTTGCCTTTTTTTTTAAAGAAATTAGTATTTACCAAGTATGCATTAAATTGATCAAAACTGACAGTAAAGACATTTATAATGTTACAAAAATGCTGTTCTTTTGAACTTTCTATTCATCAAAGAATGCTGAAAAATAAAATGCATCACAGATTCCACAAAAATATGAACTGTTTTCAACATTGATAATAATCAGAAATATTAGAATGATTTCTGAAGAATCATGTGACACTGAAGACTGGAGTAATGATGCTGAAAATTCAGCTTTGATAACAGAAATAAATTACATTTTACAATATGTTTATTTTAAAATTACAAAAATATTTCATAATGTTTGTGAAATATTCTCCAAAAAATTAAACCAACTCCAAACTTTTGAGCAGCAGTGTATGTTTAAAGCATAATTTTGTTTTTATTAGAAACCAAACAAATCAGATTTAGACTTTGTCTGGTTAAGTTTGCATCTGTTGTCTTTCTGGACTGTAATAATTTATAGATGACCCATAATTAACATCTTGTGTCTTCACAGACCCTGGAGGCCAAGCTACAGTCTCAGATGGATTATGAAGAGATCAAAACTGAACTCAGGTGAGGTTTTGCAGGAACACATGCTATAAAGATGATGTTTGATGACGGTGATATTAACGTATCATTGTGTCTCCTGCAGCATCCTGAAAGCCATGAAACTGGCATCAGCCAACGGAAGTTCATCCCAGGTGAGTGAAGCAAGTGTTCTTCCTGCAGAGCTGTAGGGTAATTTAACAGTCCTGCGTTATATTGACATATGGTTATGGACCCTCTCAAATAAAAGACAAATAAAGTTCTCCACGAAAAACAGTTGCCTGCATCTGTCAATGAGGAAACGCCACAGCGATCCGTGTGAACGCCTCACTAGCGTCATCCATAATGTAGATCTGCATCGCTCACGAGAGTTATGTGTCACTGAACTTTTCCCTTCCATCTTTAAAGTACATTGGATAATAAACTAAAACCATAAAAATATTTTTTGTTACTTGAAATGTTAACTGAAAAAAAAAAAAAAAGACTTATTTGATTTCAGCTAGCTGCCAAAGCAACATCAAGTTTACCTTGATGTAGTAAAAAAACGAACTAAAACTGAAATACAAATGAATAAAAATAATATAGACATATTAAAAAAAAAAAAATAAAAAAAAAATCAAAATTTGAAAAATCAGAACGCCTCAATGGCCGTCGCCATGGAGACAGGCATGCCAAGTGACCAATCGGAGAGCGGAAGCTCGGGGGGAGGAGACGACAATCAGTTGGAAACAGCAGAAATCGCTTTTCAGGTCAAAGAGCAGCTGCTGAAACACAACATCGGTCAGCGTGTGTTCGGCCACTACGTGCTGGGCCTCTCGCAGGGCTCGGTCAGCGAGATCCTGGCTCGACCCAAACCCTGGAGGAAACTCACCGTCAAGGGCAAAGAGCCTTTCATCAAAATGAAGCAATTCCTGTCGGATGAGCAGAACATCCTGGCGTTACGCACCATCCAGGTTCGCAAGCGAGGTGAGTGGAACGAAACCGTCCAGAGAAACTGCAGCACTGCAGGAAAATCCCGCCTTTGAGTTCAAAGAGGCACTTTCCTTATTGACAAACACGTCACAAACACATGAGCTAGACCTACCTGAAATACATATAGGTAGAAACATCTTGACCTCATCACTGTACCACAGTATTCTTTTCAAGGGAAATACAGCTAAACATTTTATGTTAAAGGGGTCATATGATGCTTCTAAAAAGAACATTATTTTGTGTATTTGGTGTAATGAAATGTGTATCTTCTTTATGCACCAAGAGCTTGTAACACTACAAAGAGAAAGGAAAAATTGAAATCGCATAATATGACCCCTTTAATAAAATAATGCTAAACTGTATCATGCTAAACACTTTATATGTATTGTTTTTATTTATTAATAATAAAGATTATTATTAAATCTTTTTTTCTAATGTGTGTATATATTTTTTTTTCCCCATATTTTATTTTGATAGTAATAAATTAAATCAAATTATTCAATTATTAAAATATT